ACAGCAGAGTCTGGAGCACGATCCGCTGCCCGATTCCCCGAACTACGTGTGATTACACCTCAGGGAACACAGGGAGTGTGCTCCTCCGGCCGCGGCTGCCAAACGCTGGGGAGATAACCGGGGACAGCGGGCGCACACAGCGCAGGAACACTTCCCCGCCGCCCCACGGAGGGGCCAGCGGCCGCTGCGTGCCCGGCCTCCGGCAGACAGGGCCCGGCCACCCCTCGGAGCTTCTCGCGGGACTGCCCGCCACGCTCCCGCGCATGCGCACGGGCGACGCTGCGCACAGCAGGGTAGCAAGCGCTCGGAGGACCGGAAGGTCGGGAGCCTTCCCCATTGGCCGCGTGTGGCGGTGCCGGCTGCCGCTGCCGGCGCTGATTGGCTGCTCGGCACAAAAGCGCGACTCCTTGGGCGGTGAGGATGGCGGCGCCGGTGCGGCGGAGCGTGGTGTTCGTGACGGGCAACGCCAAAAAGCTGGAGGAGGTGGGGGCGGTTGCCTGGCAACGCTCGGCGGGTGCGGCCTGGCCGGGGCCGGGGTGTGACGGGCGGGTTTTCCTCCTTGCTCCCTCCGCAGGTCACTCAGATCCTCGGGGACTCCTGTCCGTACACGTTGGTGGCGAAGAAGATTGACCGTAAGTTGGCGGCGGGTCTGGTGGGGAGGCGCCGGTGCGGCGTGGCTCGGCGGTGTCCTCACCACCGGTGTTTGTGTTCCCAGTGCCGGAGTACCAGGGGGAGCCAGACGAGATCTCCGTGCAGAAGTGCCGCGAAGCCGCCCGGCAGGTCTCTCGTTTTCTCTCTCCCCTTTCTCGCCGGTCGGGGCGGTAGTGAGGATGCGGGGGAACCCCAGCCCCGGCGGGACAGGAGGCAGCCGGGGGCACTGCGGCACCCGGGACAGTGTGAGGAGAGTAAGGGGTACATCTGGGCCTGGTCTGGCCTCGCTGCGTTCCCATCACCCAGCTGTTTCTGGCCTTCAGGTGATGGTGACTTCTTCACTGTTGGTGACAGTGTTCTGGCTGTCCTGCTGTTGTTCCTTTGGCCTCCTGTGTCCCTCGAGCAGCAGTAGGATATGACAGCTCCTTCAGTCCAGCTCAAGCAGCAGCAGCATACAGGGTTTTCTGTGAGCTGGAGATTCTGATGGATCACTTTCCAGAGCTGTCTCTGTGATGGGTGTCTTAAAAGAACCAAGTGAGCACTGGGACTCAAGAAAAATGCAGGCATTCCTCCAGGACACAGGCTTTCCCTTTCTTGGGAAATTCCTGGCCCCCAGGAAGACAGGGGGTATTCAGCTCTGCTCTCTTTTTTCCATGTGAGATCTTTCCTGCTGTTCTTCAGCCCCTCTGGCCTGCCTCAGGAGAGCATGGGTTTGATTCTGTCTGGTGTGTATTGCTTTTGAGGTAAACAGCTCTAATGACTGGTGAATTTTTGTGATATTCCTGTTATTGGGGAAATGTGAGAATAGGATAGCGCAAGAAAATGGGTTTTGAGGTCGTGCCTTCCTTTAGGTCTAAAGTTTCCATCTCTTCGGCTTTCGCTGTAGGTTCAGGCACCTGTTATAGTAGAGGATACCTGCTTGTGCTTCAATGCCCTGGGGGGGCTTCCAGGACCTTACATGTAAGTAGGAAGGACCTTGCTTCACCTTTCGTGCTCTGGAGTTAAGAGTGCAGGCGGGCAGGGTATGCTTTACAGGGGATTCTCCATGTGCCAGGACCAGTAGGGTCAGGGAGGTGATTACTGGTCTGTGTTCTCAGCTTCATCCTGCACCCCAGGGACTGGATTTAACTCTATGAGCCCTGCTGAAAATCATGGTGCAGGACAAGAGAAACAGACTTGAACTGTTGGCTCTGGTTTCTGATCTACAGTGCCTACTCTTGCAGCCAATTTGGGAATATGGTGCCACAGCAGGGCTCTGTGTAGTTAAGGCACCATGTATTTCAGCAGGACTCTGGGGTGAGTGGCCTACAGGTTCTCACAGGGAGTGCTTTAATCCAGCAGATTACAAGATTACTATATTACAGTGTAACCCCACTAACAAAATGCTGCCTTAGCTTCTGGAATTAACTTCTAGCATGATTAATTCTTCCAAACTATCTCCGCTGAGCTAAGCAGACACAGAAAAACTTTATATGATGAACTTGGCACTAGAACTGAGTGTAAGATGTGAAAAAGTCATGTTAAGAAATGTATTTTCACATGTCAGTGCTCATAACTGAGAGCTGGGTTATCTACCTAGACCCCAGTACTGCAGTAAATTAAATACTCCACTGCTGTTTTCACTGTGTCCCTTTTGGTTTAAGAGCTGAGTCTGTTATCATTGGTAAGTAGTCCAGAAGGAGGTGATTTGACAGCGCATTTAAGAGGGATTCAAAGGACTTTGAAAATGTAGGCAACAGTGTCTCAAAGATGCCTGTATTGCTGAGGTAATAGCAGCAAAAATGAATTTTCCCTCTGTTCTTCCCCTTCAGAAAATGGTTCCTGGAGAAACTCAAACCAGAAGGTACTGCTTCTCATGTTACTGCTCTGCATGTAACTCAGTCCTTTTCAAAATGGATCCCTGCCCCTGCTGGGTTCTGCTGGGTGTGCTTGCACATCATGCTGTCTCTTTCACAGCCAGTTCCTTTCCTATCTGTCCAGCTCTGTCCCTTTGCATTCCTTCCTTCATCCTGTTCTGTGCTCTTCTTCATGTGACATTTTTCCTCCCAGTAGCTTTGGCATCACTGCTGGATTCCCAGACTCCTGCTTACACAGGATGGTGGCAGGGTGTGTGGAAACTTCCTGTTTGTCATCAGTGTGACCTGGAAGTACTGCTGCTCCCTTTGGCTTCTGTGCAAGCCCATCTCCACTAGTGTTCACCACCCCTGGTGTGCGGTGACTGCTTTTGATCCTGCAGTTAAGAGTGTGGCTGCAAATCCCATGCTGGCATCATGAGCACGAGTGTTAATCATGCTAATTCAGAGTGGGCTTTAGTCCTCTCTGCTGCTGTGTGCTCATTTGCTTTCACTCACAAATTAATAGCAGGGTCCTGCTCACTCTGTGTTAGATCAGAGGCTTTGACTTCAGTCATAGGAGGGACCCAGCCAAGAGTATCCTTGTGCCTGAGCTTTGTCACCTCCACTAGTTTTTCTTCTTGTGACTGTAGAATGCTCCCTCAATCCGTCTCTAGGTAGGTGTATTGCGCTCCGAGAGAGAGGCTGTAACGCGGGATCCTTTGTGTTGCTCAGGCCTGTACAAGCTGCTGGCTGGGTTTGAAGACAAATCTGCCTACGCTCTCTGTACCTTCGCGTTCAGCACTGGAAACCCAGAGGAGCCAGTGAAGCTGTTCAAAGGCCAGACTCATGTAGGTGGTGTGCCTGAAGGAGGGAACATGCTGAGGGAGGGAACATGCTGAGGGAGGAGGGCTGCAAATTCTCTTGACAGCATTGTCTCTGTTGACAATTTTAATGAACCCTGGGTCACCAAATGCCCTCAGCGCTTCTCTATGGGAGAAGCTGGGAACAGGCTGATGGAGAGGGCAGGTGGTGGGTGTGGAATGCTGCAGCCCTTTCACCCAGCTGTATGCACCTAACTCTGTGTTTCCACAGTCTCTTCAGCCCCCTCATCTCCCTCTGGCAGGGTTGTATTTGAGTGCAGATGTTAGTTCTGTTAATTGGGGGGTAAAGGTGCTGTCAACACAGGGCACCGCAATGGAGTGCTTAGTTTGGGGCTGCTAATTTTGCTCACATCCTGGGAGGGAGACAGCACCAATGCAGTGAGCCTGTGGTGGCCACAGTGTGAGCTGTATCTGCATGTAGCTCTTTAGTCTGTGTTTGAAATGCTACTGCAAAGCTGCAAAACCATGGCTCACAGGGCTCTTTTACTTTCTTGTGGTAGGGGCTGATAGTGGAGCCCAGAGGCCCTCGAGATTTTGGCTGGGATCCCTGCTTTCAACCAGATGGCTACAACCAGACGTGAGTGGTGTTTCACTTAAGTGATTTATCACAGAATAGTTAGGGTTGGAAAGGACCTTAAGATCATCAAGATCCGAACCCCTGCCATGGGCAGGGACATCTCACACTAAACCATGTCACCTAAGGCTCTGTCCAACCTGGCCTTGAACACTGCCAGAAATGGAGCATTCACAGCTTCCTTGGGCAACCCGTTCCAGTGCCTCACCACCCTTACAGTAAAGAACTTCCTCCTTATATCCAATCTAAATGGTCAAGGCTGTGTGTCAGGAGGAACATGCTTCCGAAGGAGGGTGGGAGGGGGAAAACGCCCTCCTGGATCTGAACGTGGCAGGTTACAGGAAGTCCTGGATCCAGATTGGGATTGTTTGCTTTGCCAGCCTGTCACTACAGGCCTCAGCCAAGCAGGGTCACCTGCAGTGAGCAGAGGGGGATGGGAGAGGATAGGACAATGATGAGCCCTGCTGTAGCGTCTCTGCTGCTAAGATCTGTGGTTTCTTTGCAGATACGCTGAACTGCCCAAAGCAGTGAAGAACTCCATCTCGCACCGTTACAGAGCGCTGAGTGAGCTCTCTGCCTTCTTTCATCAGAGCAACTCGACAGAGCCCCACTCAGGCCCCAGCTAGCCTCCATAGTTGCCCCGTGGCTCTCCCTGTCACACGCAGCCCTGGGGGAGCTCCGTTTCTCTGTGGGCTGATATTAAAGCTGCTCCTTTTGGAGCCACTGATACCTTTTTCCCTGCCCGGTTTTGTTGCGTCAGCAGTGCTGCACAGCCTGGCGCGGGGGCCGCTGTGCCTGGGGGCGCCCCGCTCCTGCCCGGGCATTCCCTGCCGCCCTTCCTGCTGTGTGGCACAGGGGAGGCCGCGGTGCCGCGGCGGTACGGGTCGGGGCTGTCCGCGCCGAGATGACGGGAGATGAGGCCCGGCTGGTCTCTGCGAGGGGGGCGGCACGGCACGGGACGTGCAGCCAATCGTCCGCTGCGTCCAATGAGCGCGCTGCGCACTCTGATGGCGTCACGCGCGGGGGGACACGTGCACCGGGAGCGGGTGCGGCGCTGGCCGGGCATGGAGCTGCTGCCCCGCAGCCCCAGGGAGTTCGGTTCTGCCCGGTACTGGGATCGGTTCTTCCGGCAGCGCGGGCAGCGCTCCTTCGAGTGGTACGGGGCTTTCCCCGAGCTCTGCCCCGTCCTGCGCAAGTATGTCCGGCCACGCGATAAGGTGAGCCCTGTCCGGTACCTAGCGCGGTGTCCCCCGGCTGAGCCTTCCCCCGGCCGGACCCCTCCTGCGCGGCGACTTCTGCGCCGCCGCGACCCGGCTTAAACTTCCCGGCGTGGGGAGCTCAGGGGGTTAAACCACCCAAATCGTCCCCAGCCGAGATGCAGCGGGTCCGTCGCTTCTGTGCCTGTGTGACTTTTCTATGTGGAAATCACAGGATTGTTAGGGTTGGAAACGTTATCTTAGGGCCCCCGAGAACGGGTTTGCAAGTGTGGCTCTCACAGAGGGCTCGTGGCCGTGGCTGATATTTGCTTGTAAAATGCTTTGGGGCACATTTCCAGGGTGTTTTCACCATCACGCTGCTCTTGTGCTGCTCCCCAGGTTCTGGTGGTGGGCTGTGGGAACTCGGAACTGAGTGAGCAGATGTATGATGTGGGGATGTGCGAGGACATTGTGAACATCGACATCAACAGTGCAGTAATCCATCAAATGCAAGAGCGGAGCAGGAGCAAGAGGCCGAAGATGAGCTATCTGCTGATGGATGTGCTTCAGATGAACTTTCCTGATGCTCACTTTCATGTGGTCCTGGACAAAGGCACTCTGGATACTGTCCTCACTGATGAAGAGGAGGCCACTCTAACTAAGGTGGATAAGATGTTTGGTGAGATCAACCGGGTCTTGCAGGTAGGAGGGCGCTACCTCTGTGTTTCCTTGGCTCAAGCCCATGTGCTGAAGAAAGCAGTGGAATACTTCTCCCAGGAAGGCTGGGTTGTGCGTGTCCATCAGGTGGCTGACAGTGGGGACAAGCAGCAGTTTGTCCTACCAGTCTTCATCTACATCATGACGAAGTTCAGGAAGATCACTGGCTCGGCACCACAGATCCTGGAGATATGCTCTGAGGAGCAGGACAAGCCCATGCGGCTGGAGAGTGTGGAGCGGCTGGTGGCAGCAGTGAAGGACAGGCAGCATTATGCCCTGCTCTGCAGCCAGCTGAGCAAAACACCTTGTGAGGAGCAGGTTTCCGTGGATCTGTGTGACAGAGAGAGCGGGAGGCCTCGCTACACGCTGCATGTGGTTGACAGCTCCTCAGTGAAACCTTCCCAGGACAATTCCTTCGCCATCTTCATCAGTAAGTACAGCTTGTCCTGTCTGCAATGAGACAGTGCTCTGACCAGGAGCTGCAAAATGGCCAGTGATACTGGCCCTGCTGAAATTGGGGCTGGAGAAGGAAATAACATGGCTATTCAGGGTTTGGTTGATATTTAGTCCTGGCTTCATGGTGGGACATGTGTTTGCCTGGTAGTGCAGGCAGAGATCTGGCACAGAGCTTGCTGGATGAGTAGGTGCCCATCTGGCAGTAGAGGGATGCCGCCTGCCCTGCCTCCAAAGTGGTGATTTCTGCTTTGATCCTGGTGGCCGTCACCATAGCACATCACTGCATAAATCCACACCACAGCAGATGCAGACAAAAAAGCCTCTGCTCTGTGGGCATTCTGAGGCTGCTTTGCTTCTGTGCTTGTATCTCCTGGAGGCACGTCAGGTTCTGCCATCAGCACTCTCCTCCTGATGCGCCTGCAAAGCTGGGGTTGGCACAGCCTGGAGACAGGTTGTGAGGCTGTTGGACACCCCCTTCCTACGGGACATAGCTTTTCCAGCCTCCTGTGTGAACCTGCCCAAAATGGGGGAGGTCCCTGCTCTCTTAATGGTTGCCGAGCCCAGCTCTAGGCATCCAGCATTACATGTTCATGATGTGCTGCCATTCGCTGTGGCTCCTCTCTCAGAAGCTGGGGTGTTCACTATGGGACTGGCACAGGCTGATGGCAGCCCCTTCTGCAGTCCCACAGGGCAGAGAAACGGAGTGGCTCTTTGGGACAGAGGAAGGGCGGAGGCAGCTGGCCACCAGCGCAGGCTTTGGACGCCTGGTCACAGTGGCCCTGCACAGGGAGCAGCACTACGAGGGCATGGCCAGCATCCAGTCGGAGCTATCAGGAAAAGTGATGGAACTGGCCCCTCCGGGCCTCCCTGCCCGGCAGCAGGTGAGACTCACTGCCTGGCCCCCCTCACTTGGCTTCCCCAAAACTGGAGACAGGTTGGCTTTTTGCCAGCAGCAAATCCCTCTTTTTCCAAGGGAGACCAAGCTGCAGTGCATTAGCTGTCTGCCTTTGTGGGGAGGAGACTGCCCAGGTGCAGCTCTTCTCAGTTTTCCCTCCAGCTGGCTGCCTTTGCTTGTAGGTAGGGCTTGAGGTGCCTGCACAGAAGGATTCAGTGTGAACTCCTTGCTCTCAAAAAAAAACAGCATCCCAAGGAAACCAGGCATCCTGAAACACCTGGTGCCTTCTTAATCCTGGCTTTAACTTCTGTCCCTTCTGTCTCCTTCTTCCTGCCCCAACTCCTCAAACCTGAGCTCTTGTAAGAAGTCTTGGGGTGTTTGTTCCCTGTACCCCAGTGTGTGTGTACAGGAGGACAGCTGGTGTCCCCAGCTTCCCTATGGCTGCCTACAGTAATTCCTACTTCTACTACACTGTGCCTGCTTTATCCCTGCTATTTAGCAGCAATGCCTGTAGCCCTTCCTTCCTCACACTAGTCCCTTGTTCTTCCTGCAGGTGCCCTTTTTGTCTGTGGGAGGGGACATTGGGGTGCGGACATTGCGGCACTGTGACACCAGCCCCCTGAGTGGGGAGTATGTTGTGGAGGATGTGAAGGGGGATGGCACTTGCTACTTCCGTCGCCTCATCTTCCTCAGCAATAGGAACGTGGTCCAGTCGGAGGCTCGGCTCCTGGCCCGCACCCCTCTCCCAGGTATATGGGGCAAGTAGGAAGGGGTAGGGGCCAAGGGTGACTTTTTGGGGTGGCAGAGAGTGAGATTGATACAGGAGGAGGATAAAAGTCCCTCTGAGACTTGCCTGCCATGTCCTGAAGCAGCCTGGGGAGCTCTTCTACACTCTGCTGTATGTCTTGTGGGTGGGACAGGGGTTGGGGGTTGCTACCCCTGTCTTCCACCATGCCTTACAAGCTGATGCCTCCTGTCATTCAGGCCAGAAGAAACGGAGGAAGGACAAGAAGAAGCCCAGCCTTGCTGAGCCACCTGGAGCCATTGACAAGAGCTACCTGTGCTGCGAGCACCACAAAGCCATGGTTGCAGGGCTCTGCCTGCTGGGGGGCCCTGACCCCCTTTCAGGTGACAAGGCCATGCCAGGGGCAGGCACCCATATGTCCTCATGCCTCAGATGCTTGGGGAAAGGCTTTCCTGGCCAAAGTGACCCATGCACCCTTCCCGGTGTTTGGAGGTGGGTGTGTGGGAGGAGCTGTGGGAACATTGCCATCCTGGTGTCTCACTGTACACTCTCCATTGGCAGGAGCCCTGCTGGCAGTGCTGGTGGTGGGGCTTGGAGGGGGCAGCCTGCCCCTCTTCATCCATGACTACTTCTCGCAGGCCTGTGTGGCCGTGGTGGAGATTGACCCCTCCATGCTGGAGGTGGCCACGCGTTGGTTCGGCTTCTCCCAGGATGACCGGATGCGGGTGCACGTCTCTGATGGCCTGGACTATGTGACCAAGCTGGCAGCTGAAGGTACCGTATCGTGGAGCATCCCACACACCCCATCAAGCCTTTTGGGTGACCTGCTGGGGACTGGAGCTATTTTCACCCTCTGCTTCCCCATCCCTGCCTATCTCCTGCCATGTGTCATGAGCTCCAGCCTTGCCAGGTCTCTGCAGTTCGCAGGCCTGTCGTTGCCAACATGTGCAGGGGACTTATATTTGCTGCCTCCCCCAGTGTTGAGGGCTGCTGCCTTTTGTTTCATTTGGAAACTCCAAGGGAGAGAAGTTGCCATAACATGGCAGAAGGAGTGTCTTGACCACCACATTCATTGCCTTCCCAATGTGCATGGCGTATCTCTGTCCCATGGGCTAACAAGTCTCTGCACTCCTTCCTGCAGCCTCAGCCCAGTACGATGCCATCATGTTTGATGTGGACAGCAAAGACCTCACAGTGGGGATGAGCTGCCCGCCCCCAGCCTTTGTGGAAAAGCACTTTCTGCAGAAGGTTAAAGCCATCCTCAAGCCAGAAGGTAAAAGGGGAGATCTGGCCATATCTCTGCAGCCAGGCTGCCCTGTCCTATGTGGAGTTTGAGTAATGGGACTGCCACCATTTCTCATCCTGGAGAATAGTGGCTGCATCCAGGATTGCTATGTGGCATCCCCCACTGCTGGCAGCTCATGGATCTGGGTGTTTCAGTGGGTGTTGTGACAGCAGGGACCAGGGTGGTGCTGCTGGGTCAGGCAGGCTGAGACATCCTGTGGGGCCAGGAAAGGTTGGGGGAAGGCAGATGGTGCAGGCGGTATCTGGGAATGGATCCTGTGGCCACCCACAACCAGTGTGGCAGCAAGGACATGGAGCTGAGCCAAGGGCACTGTGGGAATGGCAGTACTCCTTGTGCTGCCATGGTGGGGATGTCTGCAGCAGACTGGCAGCAATTCAGCTGCATTCCCACAGGGAGGTGGGGAACAGGGCGGTGTACACAGGCTGGTCTGAACTCCAATCCTCTCACCCTGCTGCAGGAGTCTTCGTGCTCAACTTGGTGTGCCGCGACGCCCAGCTGAAGGAGTCAGTCCTGGCCACCCTCAGGGAGGTCTTCCCGCTGCTCTACGTGCGGCGCATTGAAGGGGAGGTCAATGAGATCTTGTTCTGCCAGCTCAGCCCTGAGAGCCAGTGGGACCCCCCAGAGCTGGGGGCACGTGCCCGGCTGCTGGAGGGGTCTCTGCGGCAGCCTGGGCGCCCCTGGGACAGCTCATACGTGCTGGCAGACATGCTGCAGGCTGTCAAGATCCTCTGAGAGGGGCTGTGATGGCACTTGAACGGGAGAGTCCTCACTTGGGTGTTGTGGCCCCGTAGCAGAGGGGTGCCCATGGCTGGGACTGCTGCCCCCAGTGGGTTTCTGCTGGCCTAGGTGTATCTGAAGGATGTGACTGGCATAGGGAGGCGCTCCTTGGGAAGGGATCCAGGACCCTGGAAGGCTGTGCAGCCCAAGGGGCAGTGTTGGGGTGGTGAGAAGAAGGTGCTGCAGGACTGTGGGTTTGGGTCTACCCCTATAGTTTTTCCACTGTGGGGGAAAATGTCCCTCTGACTGTTCCCTTCCCCTCCAGCACAGCTGCTTCCCTCCGATGCTGCCTTGCCTCATCCTCAGCATCCCTGGTCACTAGTGTTTGTTCAGAGCCCTCAGCCCTGCCCTAAGCCTGGTTGTTAATGTGTGTGGGTGCAGTGGGAGTGGTGAAAATAAAAGTGCTTAGGGCTGCTTCAAGGCCCTCAGTGCTTTGCTAGGCTTATTTCTGGAGTGTTCACCACCCCTGAAAAGGTACAGTCACCTCCACTGCTCAAGGGCACATTCTGGGGGCAGCCAGCTGCCCACTGTACCGCACTGCCCATTCACCACTTTTCCCCAAACTGTACCCTGCTATGTACCTGCCCCTTTTCTGCATTTCTTCAGCCATTGCTACTGTTAACTGTAACCCCTTATGTTTCCAACCCTTTTTCATGCCCCTGGGCCAGCAGGGACCCAGCCCTGTGTTTTTTCCCCTGGGCACACCAAACTGCTTGCCCAGCTGGCACAGGTCAGCTTTCTCACAGGATTAGAAGGATGTGCATTGCTTTCCCCTGTCCTGGTACAGCATCCCATTTCTGCCCAGGTGGCTTATTTTATTCTTCCCCAGAGTTTCAAAGCCTGGTCTTTCACTGTGAGGTTTTAGCTTAACAGCTGACCCATGCATCCTGGCTGGTTACAGAGCAGCTGACCCGCTGGTGCTCCCACATTCATCAGAAGCTATTTGGGAGGGGGGCTCTTCTTTCTTCCTTACAACAGCAGGTACCAACATGAGTCAGATATGTTAACCAAAGTGGCTGGCTTGTAGACATCAAGGTAACAACTGTCTCAGGCACCATGCAGCTTTGACACTGACCCAGTACCCTCACCCCATATTTTCTTCTGCCTCTGGCATCCTGCACAAGAGCATCTTTCAGATAGCTGCTTCCCAAAGCAAACCCTTTCCAGCCACCTTTCCACATCCCATGGTGGTAACAACATACCAGAAGGCAACAGCAGCCTCATCTCAGCATCACTGCCAGAACCATCTCACCAGCTTTGCAGGTCCTGCACCATGTCCCCCTGGGATGTTTGAGCTGCACACTCATCAGCTTCTACCTCCTCATCAGGAACCAGCTCTCTTCCACCTGTGGGGAAATCCTGGGTTTGGAAAACCAAATGAGAGGGTGCATGAGAACCAAGGGTTTGCAGTTTCCCAAGGCACTCCAAGGGCTCTCGCCCCCTGAACTGGTGGGGATTAAGGCCACCATGAAAATGCAGGAGGTGGGGTTGGTTGTGCCCAGGAGGCACTATGTCAGCCACACTGATAATGAGCACGTCCCTCTGATAGCAACTGCGGTGGCTGCATTTTGTTTTTCCACCAGATTCTACTTTGGAAACTTCTCTGTTCAGATAATTTCTCCAATGTTACCTGCCTTCACGCAGAAGGACAAATCAGTGCCCTGGGCTGGCCTGCTGGGAGCAGATGCTTTTTTAAGTACTTTTGATGGTTCCCAGGCTCTGGAGAGCAGGGGTGGCCTGCTCCCTGCCTCAGATAAAGGATGGCAGAATGGGCACGTGCCCTCTGTATGTTGCTTCACCGCCCAGTCACTCCTCTTGCTGTAGTATGTTCAGAGCAGCATGTGGGTGCTGGTCAATGGGAGAGATAAAGCTGGAGCTTGAGCTGGGTGGAAGTGTACTTGCCCCCAAGCAGTTACTTCCTAAAGCTCATGTGCAATAAGCACTTTTCTGAAAGATACCTATTATCCATCCAGCTTAGCAATGGCCCACTAAAATTTCTCAGCTGGATCAGCAGTGTTGCATTTAGTCTATTTTTAACTTAGTTTTCAATTCTCAACATAATTCTAATAACATAGGTTTGTGTATGTGCCCTTTACTTTACAGAAACCATCTCCTTTCCTCCCCAGGAACTCACACAAAGGCTGCGTTCATTCCTCCCTTGTCCCGTCCTGCCTTTCTGTTTTTCTGTTGTGCTTCCTAGTTGCTGCATAAGGCCACATCCTGGTGAGAAAACAAAAGCCATCTATTTGAAACAACAAAAGGATGAAATCTCAGTTCACTGCAGCTGTCCTTGCAGCTACTGACAGCCCTACGAGTTTGGTCTGGAAATACATTTCAGCTGGAAAATTAGAAATTCATGAGTTGTGCAAATATCTGAAATCCTTCTCTGCAGGTAGAATGGTCCAAGGCTGGAATAACTGATGTATAGTAAATATTTCTCTCTTGGCAGCCAAAACATGCAGCTAGTGTATATGTTTGGCAACTGTGTCTCTGTTGAGTGTTTTGGCAGTATACTCATGTTTACATCCCTCACTCCTCACTTCCTTCCTTTGCAGCGGAGGCATGCTGTAAGTGGTGGGATAGAAACAAGCTCTGCTGTCACTTAGCAACTCCGCTGGCTTTGAGATGTAGACTTTTTTCCTTCCTGGACTTCCCAGCACAAAAAGAGATGTTCACATACCTCATCACATGGCTAAGGCTTGAGGCTGCAGCCAGCTAGGGGTGCTTTTGTCTGGTCCAGCCTGAATCCCTCTTGAAGCATCGCATCCGTGTCCTGCTGCTGCTCCAGTGGGCAAGGCACTGGAAGTTAATGGGTCAGCCCTGGGTTTTGTCATTTTGGGTGCAAGGATGCAAGGTTGTGCCCAGCCACGAAGGCTCTTTAGCCCAGGGTGACTCTGTGGCCAGGCAGCTGGCAAGGTAGACTCTATGAGGCAGGCAGTAGCGGTGTGCTACGCATATAGTCCATATGGTGTAACTCCTCAGGTGTCACAGCCCAGATCCCAGCTCTTCAGAAGGACTGGAAGTGGCTGGGCTCTCAGGAAGATGGTGGATGTGGATGGGGACATATTGGCACTGGCTAAAAATATTTCAAGCAGTTGGGAGAGGTTCTGCAGTTACAAAAGGTGCAGGGACTGAGCACTGAGGCTCATCCCCTCTGGCTGGGAAGAGCTCTTCTGGGGTGAGCCTGGCCAGGATGCTGCTGCTGCCTGGTCATGGCAGGATCACAGCGCAGCAAGGGCTGCAACAGCCACATCCCAGAGGCTGGAAGTGCCTGGGAAATATTTTGTGCATGAAATGTTCCCTCGGAAAAGTACTTGGCTTGCCTGTCTTTGTGACCAAGGAAGCAGGCATGCTGCCAGGCTGCAGCAAGGGAGTACAGCTCTCTCCTGGGGTACCCAGGGCTGCAGGAAACACCTCTGCAGGCTGCATTGCAGCACGGTGGCTGTTTTCTGCCCTGCAACTAGATGCATCCAATTAAAAGATGCAGCTGGAGGTCACAGGACAGGGGAGAAGCCACCATGCCAGATAGGATAGGAATGGGGGTGCCACAGTTCTGTGATCTGAGTGTCAGAATTGCCACAGGCTGCAAGGGAGAGGCAGAAAGCCTCCTCTTTACAGGGGGAAATGCTGCAGTCACTCTGGCTTTCTTTTTCTGGCTTTGTGTCTTTTGCAGCTTCAAGGTCTGACCTCTCCTCCAAGTATACAGGCATAATGCAGACTGGGACCTTCATGCCAGCACTACAGAGCCAGGTGCTGCTGAGACCCTGGTTGCTCCCCTGTGCATGGGGCTCCTTGCCCACATCTCCTCATGCTTTGTGCCCGTCAGCTGCCTGAACAGCTCTGCAAGACTCTGGGTCTGTATTTGCAGCAAGAATGAGGTGAGGAAAGTCCCTGGAGAGATTATGCATGAAGGAGCCTGCCTCTTCTAAATACTTCCTGGAGAGAGGATGCAGCCTCATTGGTGCTCTGCCTCCCCTGGGGTCCTGCCTGCTCTTGTGGCAGGGGAGCATGCCTGCCTCTTCACTGCAGGTGTCTGCAAAGCTCCACTCTGGTAGTTTATATATAACCTATTTTTCATGAAATGAATTGCACTGGTGTGTGTTTATAAAGCAGCCTGGGGATCTGATCCAAATGTCCTCAGTTTTAACATCACACTGCCTGTTTAGGAGCAAGTGTCTGTGGATATAAGTTTGTGGCTCAGATGCTACAGCTGCACCCTGAAGCCAGACTATTTTTGCCATATATATTTTCTGGAAATCAGGGAAGGACAAACTTGCTGTCTGTAGGCTTGATCTGAATTGCACTGGAGGCTTTAGCAAGATAGGGATCCTTGGCAAGCTGCGCAGGAGCTGGTGACGTATGGAAGCGAACAGACTACACTGATAGAGGCAGCGGTACTCGTGGGGCTGGCCTGCCCGCCTGGGGAGCAGGGCACCCTTCCCTCCATGCTGGGGAAATGTGGTTGGGGAAGGTCGTTTCTCCTTGCCAAGCCTGGCATGTGGCCAAAGGAAATGATAGAAACCATGGGGCAAAACTGAGCGCAGGTTAACAACAGAGCATGTTTAGGTGCTAACCAGTGAGCAATGCAGCTCTGTGTTCCTGGGAATTGTACCTGGTGCTCCACAGGAAAAGAGTTTATTTGCATGGCCCTCTGATGCTGGTTTGGGTCTTTTTTTCCAGGGTTATTCAGGTTATTGCAAGAAGCTTTGCAATGGTCTCTGCTAGTACAATCCCTTTTCTTTTAATTTATTCACTCTGAATCTCAGCAAATTCGGAAAGCCAGGCTGGGCTCTGCATGGGGGTTTGGGACAAGCTGTCTGGAGAAGACAGAAAAATCAGAGACCTGAGGGTTCGCTCAGGTGCCCTTCCTCTTTTCTTCATTGCTGTCTTGAAATTGTTGGAAAAATGAGCACCCTCTTGATAATGTGGGCATGCATAATGAAAATGTTTGTGCTTTTTCTGTATTTGGCTGCTTGTGGCTTTTTTTCTGGGGTGTGGATTTTGTAAGTGATGGACTTGTAGGGCAAGTGTGGTCTCTAAGCAGCTTTAACTCAGCTTCTACAGACAAAAACGTTTAGTTTGGAAACTTCCCAGACTTGGGGGAGTAACTAACTTTTCCTAATCATAGATATTTATAGATGTTTTAAATATTTTTTTTCTTAATTACTGAGGCAAAGAAAGATGTAATTTAAAGACCTAATGAACAGGACAGTTTCTGGGGTTATCAATTTGCAGGTGTACATAGCGTTGCTCCAGAGGCATTGCACCTTTTTTAATCTTCATTTGTCTCTTGTGAAGAAGCAATGCTATTGTTGGCTGCTCTGCTACTGATCTTAATTATCTCACTGGGGCAGCACAGAGTGCTCCACTGGTCACAGGGGGTGGATTTGGCCAGAGCATAATACTGTTCTTCCCAGCTTCCAGCCTCTGTAGAAACCCATGAACTGGAGGAAGGCCAGGCAGCTAGTGTAGTGCCTCCTGGCATAGCCTGCTCGCTTAGGAGTGTGGAAAAAATAACCATGCGGCTAATTGGCATAATAATGTCAGTAAGCCCCAGGCCTTCTCTAGATAGAGATCGTCGGGAGGATTTTCCCAGAGGCTGTGGTGCTGGGGAGTCGATTTAACCTCAGTGGCAAAGTGACTGCCACTCTGTGAAGCTCTCTGCATTATGCTGATTAGAAACTTTTCATCCAGAGCTAAATTAAACTGTTCATTTGTTTCCAGGGTTAGAAGTCATTCAGTTGTGAAGAGTAGTTTTTTACCCTTATTGGGAGCTCTGGCCAAGAAGTTTTGATAATCCTCCAGATCATCAGTATATGTCAGTCTGTGGGATGTTCGCAGTTCCCTTTTGTTTTGCTTTACATGCTGAGCAAGGCTGGTGTCTGGTTTAATACAGAGGGTAACTTTTATCACTGCAGGACTCTAAAGCCTCTGTTTTGGATATTTTTGTGTTGTGACTGCTGCCAGTAATCACAGGCAAATCTAGTCTCTGTTGTTCGCCTGTCCTTTTAGCCCAGCCTCAGTACGCATTGTTAATTGAACCCACTGCAGTGATGTGGCTCAGATCCTGTTATCGCTTTCCAGCCTGTTCCTGATCCATCCACCTGCTACCAGCCCTGCTGGACCTGGCTTCTCAGGCCTGCCCTGGCATGGTTCTGATTAGCACGTGTCTGACCCTGGCCACGCTCCTGCCCATGGATGAACATTGGTGCTGCTTGCCAGGGTCCCTCATGGGCTGTGAGGATGGATCATGGTTCCCCTGCTTCCGTTCCCATCGTGGGCGAGAGCTGAGAAGAATTTAACCATTGGGACTGCTCCAAAATATCCTGCTCAGTAGATTGGGAAGTGCTGAAGCCAACTGTCTGCCAGGTCCCATGCTGGCAGGTGGGACCCAGCTCCTCTGTGAGCTCCTGGTTTGGCCCTGTTTCTAGTTTAATGCCAAACTCGTACAGGAAGAGCACAAGCAAACCTCCACGGGGTGCCAGCGGATGCTATAGCGGGGCATGGCCCTGTGCCTGCTATAGGATGACTGGCTAGGGTCGAGGCTTTGGGGGAGAGGAGCAGTGTGGCGGTCTGTGGTCGGTACGTGGACCTGGGTGGACAGTGGGCCTTGCACCCAAGGGTCCCAGCACCGAGGCCAGCCTGTCCACCTGCGGGGAGGAGTGCACCCAGCCTCTCGGGCGGACAGCGGATGACCGGCGGCTCCAGGCTGCCGGGGGCACCCCGGGAATGCTCCCTGGATGTTGCTGGCCTCTGCCGGTGACCGGCGGGAGGAGGCTCTGCCACTGCGGGGCAGCAGGAAGGACAAACGGGACCCCACCACAGCGGGTCCCGCTCTCAGCCGCACCGACCACCGCTGGGCTGGGGCGTGGCCCTCCCGCGGAGGCCCCGCCTCCCGCCTGGCGGATGGCACGCATGCGCAGTGAGCCGCCTGTTACCTGTCAGCGGCAGAGAGGCGGCGCGGCGGGATGGAGGGGCTTATCCCGCTTGTCAACCGGCTGCAGGACGCCTTCGCGGCGCTGGGCCAGAGTTGCCTGCTGGACCTACCGCAGATCGCGGTGGTGGGCGGGCAGAGCGCCGGCAAGAGCTCCGTGCTGGAGAACTGCGTCTCCAGGTGAGGCGGCGGGCGCGAGACGTCCCCTCAGCGGTGCCCTCTCCCCCCGGCCGTTCCTAACGGTTGTCGTGTCCGTCCTCCCCCGACCCGCTCCTTCCAGCGGTCGCAGAGCCGCGAGCCCGTGGCGGCCGCTGGAGCCTGGGTGCGAACGGGGATGGAAGAGGCGGGGGGGCCCTGGCTCCGTGCCGGACAGGAGTGTTCGGTACGGCCCCTCCGGTGCCGCGGGCGGTGGGGGTGAGGCGGGTCCTGGCGCGGCGCGGGGAAGCCGGCGCACCTCCTGTGGGAGCGCGTCCGTGTGCCCAGTGCGGGGCTTAACCGCTGTCTAGGGGGGGAAAAAAAAGGTGTTTAAAGCCCTAAATCCTAATTCCGGTGGGTGTTCTGGGTCAAGTCGGCTAATGGTTTTCATAGCGCTGCTTACAGTTCGTGCCGTCCTAACGCGCATATGGGTGTTGGCATCTCTTCTAATAACCGCTGAAAGAAACAAGGGGAAGCCTGGTGATTCAGGTGGTCCCTTCAGCGGCCAGACTGCATCTCTGAAGATCTCTTGACGTAAACATGAACTTCACGTGCTGCTTCGTAAAGTTCCTGCTGCGTTTGCAGCAAAGAGTGTGCAGGCTCCCAGAGGAAGGTGGTGTTTTCAGAGCGTAGCTGAAGTCGTTAGTCTGCATATAGGATCAAAAAGTGCTGTTGTATGTCAGTGACTGGGGAACTTCTGTGCACGGAGATCTTCACTGAAGGTAGTGTTAAATGCTGTGTGTCCCCACAACCTAGCTATGTGTCAGACCATAACAGCTCTTGACATACAGTATAATAATACTATGCAGTTGTTCTTCATCCCCACTTCAGAATTTACTCTTACTGTGTTAAATGTCAGTTCCTATGCTTCTTTCTACTTAAAGGCTGATATTGTCAGTACTGCCAGTCTCTGAAATTTAGAAATCACAAGTGAGATTCTCAGAAATCACTATTGGCCATTGAATTATTACAGGGTTTTTTTTTTAAACAGGTGTTTTAGAAGTATTACTGCAGCCTTTTGGCTTTTTGATCTATGTGTCCAAGAAGCTGTGCAAACCATGTGTGCTGAAGAGGAAAGGCATCTTCATCTTTCTTGTCAATAAGGGTATTTTGGTCCCTGTGACAAACCCTTGTCTGGGGTGACATCCAACAGCAGGTGCTGTGGGTTGATGTTTTTCTCTAGATCCAGCTGTTCTGTAGTGCTCCCAGATGCTTGTTATTGCTCCCCTGCGAGAGGGATCTGCTCCATCTGATCTGCAGGTGGAGAGGATCACTCCTGGCTCTGCTGTCTGAATATGCCTAGCTTGGTTGAAAGGTGAAAATGAACAGTTTATACCAATCCAGCCCATTTGGACAAGAAGCTCGAACCAGCTGCATGAGTGAAAAATGTGTCAGAGAACAGAGTCGTTTCAGAGAAGAGTTTACAGACTACTGTGAAGCACCAGGGTGTCTCTTGTCACACAGGATCTGGAATTTGGATTCTTTCCACCCCATCTCAGAGTTTACCTTATTGTTTCATGCAGTAACTTCTTGAGATACAGATACTACAGATCTGTAGTACCTCCCTACTTTCAAGCTTGGAGCTTATTGCAAATGTGACATTAGAATGCATTACTTCAAACCCATTTAATGAGATTTCAGCAACTATGTTTTACTTATGCCTTTTCTCCAGACTGAGTATGTGTGGTCAGCAGATGTGTACTTGCTAAGCTGTGAGAATCCTTAGAGCCAGATTAATAAATATCCATGAGGTCTGAAGATCATTTTGCTTGTCAGAGCAGCAGACAAAATTGTCTATGGCTCTTTTTAGTAAGCAGTAGGATGTTCCTGTTTTCATGGGATAATGAAGCTGTTCTCTGCAAACACAGTTTATTGCGTTTTCATTTCTCTTAATATTGCTTATAGAGGTAGCATGCGTTATAGAGATGTTATGCTCATTTCTATTTGGTAGTGGTACATTGCATGATGTGTTATTAACCACAGGGCAAACACTAGCTAATAGTAACACAGCTTTGAAATTCACATCAAAATAAAATAGTCCTACCATTGCACTGGTTTGAGTGTTAATTCAGATGGCTTTTTGTTTTGGGATTTCATTTCTGTGATTTGGGTTTTTTTGGGGGGGTTTCTTCTCCCACTTTTTCCCAGTTTACAGAGAGACATTCAGGATCTCCTGTCTTCAGGAACAGCTGTAATTGGTAAGAGAAAGGCATGCTATCCTCCATGTGGAGGGCAGGGTCTTCCTACAAAGGTGATGATGGCTGATAACCTGAGTATTTGTTAGTGGAGCTTTAGTGGGGTTAGTAAGGTTCTTCTTAGCTCTGGGGTACAATTGTTATTCTCTGCTGCCTGTAGTTACTAAACCGTTGTGCCTGTTTCAGTCCTTCATGGGGACTTTGGTTGTGCAAGCATGACTTCTTTCTGCTTGGACACAGGAAACATTTTCTAGCTTGCAGGTGGTATCAGAGTTGCAGCTTATTTATGGAGCCTACCTGCTCGGGAAACATGTTAGTATATATTGTGTTACCCGCCATCTAGTGAGTGCATTAGAAAGGTTGTGAAGGATCTGGCCTGGCAGATGGTTCTGGAAGTGGGATCCAAGTCCTGCTGTTTTTAAAGCTGCTGAATGACACACATCCATGACTGCCACCAGGGTAGCACCAAGCCTTAAGCCTTGTTTAGGTGCACATGGCATCCTTAATTACTAACAACAGTCAGTGGATATGTTTGGATTAGATTGCATGTTTGATACACATCGACGCTGGTGTTGCATGAGGATGAATTCTCTGTGTTTGCCTGCTGTGGCAATAGTGGCACCCAGAGCTGTTTGTGTCATTCTAGATTGGCTTGGAACAAGGCTGGAATGGGACAGTGTCAAATTTCCCAATGTAGCCGTTATTGTTACTATTTGGATTACTATCTGCTAAGGCATTTGGAGAGTTTGCTTTTCACTTATTGCTCCCCTGTATGTAAGGAGACCTTTTCTTTTGGTAGTCAAGGACTGTATTTGAAGGTTTTCCTCTGAAGTTTCTTGTTATATTTAGGTGGAAACAGAGATTCCAGAGAGCACCTGAGGACAATAGTAATTTCCATTTATGGGTCAGACCTTCATGTGTTCCTAACTAGAGCTCATGGCACTTATTTAAGGAAATGGTATTGTCTGGAGAGCAAATGTTCTTGCTTGCCGCTCTTTGTAATAGAAGTACATGTGCCTTAAAACACTGAGCTGGTGTTTGAAGCAAAGGAGCTAGTGCAATCTTCTGTTAGAAGCTGGTGGGAGAGAGATTCGAAAGAGCAAAGGGGAGTCAAACATCTAATCCAACAGATTGCCACTGGGAGATGGGCACTTTGCCTGGGCTTACATTTTTTGCTACAGATGAGTACACGACCATGACCTTAGGTGTTGTTTGTACTTATTAAACATCTTGCTTTTGATGATAATAGGGTTACTTAAAAGAAAAGGAATGGCAGGAACCAACCCCTGGAAACTGTATTTGGAGAGAAAGCATTTCCTATTATTTCATACATCCAAATGGGCTTTTAAGATAACTAAAGGCACAGATGGCAAGCTACCTTGTCAGGGCCTCTTTCTCTAGATTTGAATCAGAACCCTATTTTATTCTTACAAATAATGAGAAATTAATAACTAGATTTCAATGCTCTTTACTTCCTTCCCTGCTTAATATAATATAAACTGCATGTGGCCAAATAATTGTTTTATAAGAGACATGAACTCTTGATTATGAGCCTGTCAGTTACAATCAAACAAGCACTTTCGTTTAAGAGCCTGAGGTCTGGTTTTGTGATACAGCTTTGCAGTTTTTTGATCTGAGGCACTTTTGATAATTTTACGGTTGCTGCATGTTGTACAGCTATTTATTATGACATATGTACTTTTTTCCCCAAAAATTATGAGTCTTTGTGTGCTCAGCTCTTTTGCATTCCTTTTTTTTTTTTTTTGCTCGAGATGGCAGTTGTGAAAAGACTATGTTGAATCATTAGGAGAAGAGAAAGGATTTTAAATCTGGCTGCTGAGGCAGAGAATTTCTCCAAAAAAAGTAGACACATACTTAGATTGCATGCTTCCTGGGGGAGATAAAATTGTTGTGGATATTTTATTCTTTTAGTTACTAATTACTGACAGCAAAACTTCTTTACAGAGAATTCTCTTTTGTGAAACAGGCATGAAAAAGCTAAGTAGTCAGAGACACAAAATAAAATGTGGTGCTATCTATACTTTTAATCTTAAGGATCTTCTGGAAATGAGAATCAGCCGCTCCTTTTCCTGACTAATTAAGCCTTTGTACAGCTGTATTGAGTGTATTAGTGTAGTTATCAAAGTACTCTGGTGCACTGAAAGCAAGAATTGTTTCTGGGTATTCCATGAGACAGTGGCTCATTAAGGTTTCTTCCCCAAATACCTTTTTACATTTAGAAGTTGCAGAACAAACCTGGCCATTTTGGTGAGGTACAGTTTTTTGTATCCTGGCCTAGTTTTTTCCTTAAATGTAACTCCTTTGTGGATTTTAAGTTATTTTTTCTAAACATTTTTATTGCTTTAATGAACACAAGTTTAGTATTTGAGACCTAGACTTCAGAAAAACCTCAAAACCCTGCCAAAAGAAACCTGCAAAAAACCCCAGTCTGGTCTTGAGTGCCTTCTGAGAAATCAGTGATACAAATTCGGTGGCAGTTATTACTGGAAGTTCAATCCATCAGGGTACTAACGATGCCTGCACACCTCTGATGACTTTTAAAAAGTGAATAGTCACCTAGTGAGAGGAGAGGTCTGTCTTTGTTTTTTTTTTTTTAATTTTTTTTTTATTTTTTATTCAGATCATATGTATGCACTTAACTTTATCTCAACTTTTCCTGATTCTTAATATAAAGACACATCAGATTGTCTGACTCTGAGCTCTTGTATAACGTTATGTATCCTGATACTGGCTGCCTTTAGGAAGGAACTCACTCTTGTGATTTTGTAG